GATTCGTATTATTCTTACTAAATTGTTCACCATTTTCTTTTTTAATCATAATTTTCAATTATTTATTTCATTTATCATATTCAAAAATAAATTTAAAATTTTGTTTTTACTTATTTAAAGTAAATTTATTAAAAATGATTGTAATTTTTAAAATATAAAATACTGTAGTATAAATTAAATGTATGGAGATATTAAAATCATTTGTATAAAGTAAAAACAATTTAAATTTCCATTCCTTTTTTTTTTTTGACAAAAAAAAATAAAAAAGAATTGGAAACACTATTAATAACACGTACAACATAAGTATATAATATTACATAAAAAATATTTAAAAATATTTTTTTCCAGACTCTTACCAATTATTTTTTTCAGTCAATTTCATTTTTTCACTCTTTTATCTTGATAAATAAACAAAAGTTTAAATTAAATTTCCTTCGCTCGATTCAATAATCCCCATATATTTAGCATTTCAAAATTAACAATATATTTTATGAATTTCATATATATTGCATTTGATCCGACTACCTTCCGCCAAATTTTTACATTAAAATCGAATAGAAAGAATCGAAGACATAGAAAATCAGAGGGCCACTGAAGTGTTAAACAAAAATTGAATGCGAAAACGTGGCGCGCAACGTGGCGAAAATTTTCAAAGAACAAGATTTTTCCAAAAAAAAAAAAAAAAAAAAATGAAACATCGAAGAAAAATTTCTCGTTGCTGTTAAAACTCAACTTCGAAGAATGGTGGTGTAATGTAACGGTAAATATCGGTGAAATGAAACGACATTTGGCGATCGAAGGGAAGGAGGTTTCCACTTGTGATTGCAATCGAGTTCAGGATTAGTGAAAGGGATTTCTGGATTCGGTTGGCCTCCCAATCTTCGCAGGAATCTCTTGGAGATTCCTGTTGCTCTCTCACTAAGCACGCTAGATTAACTAGTTTTCTAACTCCACTTGTTCCTTTCTTCGTTCGAATCTTTACTTTGCTTCACACAAAATTGCGATTTTTGATTGCAATTTTCACGCTGATGCTCACGCATACTATGCAAATTATACGTAATATACAAAAAGATTTTGAATTTTATTTGATACATTAACGATAAGATAGTTTGTTGATATAAAATTTGATTATTTTTTTGCTACGTACAATTTATTCTTGAAATAATATGATTTCACTTTTTCTTTTTTTCATCCTTGGATGGATAATATCGATTTTTGTCTGATCAACTGCTACGATGAAATTAAATTACACATAATCTGTAACAACAATAAAAAATAAAAATATGAAATTATAAATTTTTTTCTTATAAAAAAATCTAACATCGTGAGGATATTTAGATTATACAACAAGATCCAAAATATATAGTATAGATTGGAATTAATTAAATATCTTAAGAACTTAAACTTATTTAAGAACTTAATAAATCACAAACATTTAAAAAAAATCTAATAAAATATCTAACTCAAATCAGCTATCAAAAAAGTAAAATAAATTTTGAAGTAACATCTTCAAAAATTTCTTCCAATTCTTATTATTCTATCTAAAAAAAAATTTCATATAACGCCATAAACCCTATTCTTACGTTCCAGCATCAATTGTTCGAATCATCCCCATATGTTTTCCCAAAATTTCTCGAGCCAAATTGCAATATCCACGAATAGACTCCTTAATATTCCATACGTTTATCCAATTGTTTGCTTTATGACACGAGTTCGAAGGATTCTGCAACATCCACAATTTCAATTTCCACCCTTCAACTTCCGGTATCTTTGGTCTCGTATCTCGAAGAACGAGATCGATACGCTTTTATGTGGGTTTTATCGCAGCAACCCTTGTTTGCTACGAGAATCTTTCACCGATCAATGCGATCAGTTCCTCTTGTTGGAATCATGTTCTGGAAGAGGATCCCTATTTACGACTTTTTCTTTTTTCATTCTTTCCTGGTGATCCAACTCGTTCGTGATTTGCTTGAAATGTGTTGGATTCCACGTCTAATTTGCCCATTTCTCGTGTTCTATTGCGGATAAAATAAGTTTCGGTTTCTTTCACACATTTGAGATGCATCACAAAGATTTCTGGCGTATTGATCGATCATGAAAAATGAATGAAAAAAGGAAAAAAGAATTTTTCTTTTGTATATGCATTCAGATTGTTGTAAATATAGCCATTTTTGGATTTCGTTGCATTCTTTTGTCATTTTACAATTTTGTAATTTATCGATATTTGGTATATTCGAGCTTTAATATCGAAGTCGAGAATTATGGAAAACTTTAAAGATGTTTGTAAATTTTTGAGAGAATTGTTGAATGAAAAGAATCACGAATAGTTGCGGTCTAAATGGCTATTAAACTAACAATAAGAATTGGAAAAATTTAGAGAAAGGATTTTTTTCTATTAATTATGAAAATATTTTGTAAAATAATTTTTGTTCACTGAAAAAATGTAGGTACATATCGTCGCTTGAACGAGTACTTAGAATATTTTTATTTTTAGTAAAATTTCATTGTATATCACTGATACATACAATAGACAGAAGCAAAAATAAATGGAGATATTTTTTTGATACAGATGCAAGAAAAGATATCAGGAATTCATGTGTTCGTTTCGTTTGAATAATTGAATATTTTAACATAATTTTTCTTGAACTTTAATTTATAATTCAACCAAGAGGAGACAGAATGTATTGAAAATTGATTCAAGAAACCTTTTATATATTCTCTCTTATCACTTATTTAAGAAACAGAATAACAATTTGTATATTAAGTATTTCAATTAATAGAACTTTCTTAAGAGTTCTTTCATCGGAATTATTTTTAAAATTCCATTGTTATTTGTGTTTTTTCGATTTGGAATAATCTTAATCCCATGTGGACTCGTTGTAATACAGCATAAATTATAATTATCGGGGTAAAAGTATAGATTCACTAATGAAAAGCAAAATTTATTATTTTAATCATCTTTCACGATAATTTAACACTATATTTAATAGCAAAGATTTTAAATGGAAAGTTCAGACTGAGATGTTGATATTATCGTAATTGTTCTTAGAAATTTATCAAAATCTGTCCACAAAGGATTAATTATTTCGTTACAACTGTTAATCACTGAGCAATTTATTATAATAATAATAGAACTCTAACCGTAGCATTTTCGACAGGAACAATCGCATGTAACTCGAGAACGATAAACTATCAAGTGCACTTAATAGGAATTCAATTATCAACGCTTGTATCGATACATCGTTCTTTTTTTTTTCTTTTTTCTTTTTTTATTGTTAAACACTCTGCAACGATTCTTCATTATCTAGCGAGTAAAATGAAACAGCGGTTCCACCGATTTTACAACAATTTAATTCAGGATTAATATTTCATTACTTGTTTCTGTTTCCATAAGCGTCACTCAGCATCTACTTACTCTACTAATATCTACGTGTTCGTTCAAACAAATCTCAGTCTCCATAAATTTCATCGAAGCAATAATATTCTCCTTCTTTATTTCAACTTTGGTAAAAATGAACACGATATATTAACAAAGAATGCAAAAGTTTTCAGTCGAATAGACTTTTTTGCAAAATTTTTTGAACGAAGTAATTATAAGTTAATTATTAGTTTCATAACCTATAAGATTAAAAGTATTCGACCATTTTGAATAACGAGTCACGTGATCTCGATGTAATCCTAACCTAATCATTTAAAACAAACAAAGTGTATAAAGTATTGTATCTAGAAAACAATGAGATTAATTCTTTGAAACTATTTATCCGATATCAAATGTATCTTTTTTTTTCATCTTTTTCTTAATAAACAAATATTTTTTATAATCAAAAACTCTTTCATTATCTCATTATAAAAATCTTTTAGACTGAATACTTTTGCATATCACTGCGAAAACGAAACAAAGAATCTTTCTTCTATATCATTTTTATCAATCGTTTCCCTTAATCTTAATCCTCTTTTAACTAACTCGTACACTACCCATTATTTTTACTCACGAAATTTCACGAGGCGATAGGTATAAAGAAGTTATCAACAGAGAAATTATTATGTACATATTATCACTGTCAACGTTGCATCGAAGATCGATTTCTCTTGTAATTAGTGTTAATCTTCCAATGGAACGCGTGGAAAAATCGTTAAAGATCGCAGAGCAGGATTAAGCGAATACGAAGATTCGAAATTCGCGCCAAAAAACGATACGAGGCACGGGCGCGCGTTCGTTTGAAAACGTTCGTTTCGCGCGTTCGATTGGACGCCTTTTTCCGTGGCGTAAAATTGCGTAAAATTCGCCAGAAACGAAACAGGCGATAACAATTCATCAGGCGGCGTTAATTATACGGCGAATTCATCACGGACGAGCGCATATTCGACGACTGATTTAACAGTTCTTGCCCTCGTTAAAAGTTCGAGGGCATTCCGTGCGCGAATTATAGCAATTCTCTATGCCCTGGAATCTTGGGAATATCTTAAGAACGATATAGCACTTAAGAACACAGCAAACTGACGATTAAGTTAGATTAGATTAGATCGACTAATAATGGTAATAGCTCGAACATCGAGCCTTAACCTAGAAGTGAAGTTTATTGAGGAAATTATTAAGGACAAGAAAGGAGAATTGTTCTTTATTTTTTGGGGAGGGAAGAAAGATGGGCAGCACTGATTTTTCTTACGTGAACAATAATAGTTAAAAATTTGAAATCAATATGATACATATATAAACTTAAAAGTAAAAAGAGATTGAATAAATTTATAAAGTAAAAGATATTTTTGCTTAAGAAAAACTTATTTCTAGCTTATTCTAAAATTTGAAATCAAATAGTGATTTCTTATTTCGTATAACCTAAAAATTAGCAAAATTAGTAAAAATCCCTATTCTACTTTTAACAAAGATCTATCAAAGATATAGCATTAATTTTGAATTAATAATTAATAAGATATACCTGTTGGTATAAATATAATTGATAAGATGATTTCAAATTTTCGATTGGTAATATATAATACAAATTACTTAGTTTCTTATTATACATTGTGCGTATATTGTACATAAATGTAACAAATCAATCCCTCCATTGCAACAAATCTTATCTATCTATTTCTAAATGAACTTACTTATGAACTTTATTTATGTTGCAATTGTTTACACGATTATCTAATTTTTCTCAATTTATGTGTAATAAATCTTCTGATAAGATTTTTTCCCAATCAGAATTGGATTTGTATGCATTTTATAAAGAATAATTCCTTTTTTCTCAATACTTAAATTTTCTTTAATATCTTCTATATGTTTCCTAATTTCTCTTTATTGCTTCCATGAATAATTGCTCTCTTGCAGTTCGGTAATATTTTTCTAGTAGCGGAAGGGTTAAAGCACGTATTTCAACACGCAACCATTATTCGCGAGAAATCTTTGCCAAGCTTTTTATTGTAACTCTTTCAGGCAGCGCATTTACTTTAATCGTTATTTAATCTTTTAATCGAGTTAATCCTTTTAATGCTATTCAAAAGTATCTTCATTTTTTAATTTAATTTTATTTATTATTTATTGTAATATTATTGTATTTAATTTCTATCGTTCGCTTCGGAATTTATCTGTTTAAAATAAAGGACTGTGATGTTTCTCTGATACATGCAAAAGAATATTTCTTGTTTAAGCGACAACCTGGAATTAAAAACGCATTTAAAAAAAATTGGAAAATGATGGTTCTATAGCATTTAAAAAAAGTTAACTCTCGTACATTCAATGATTACATCCATTCATAATGGCACAATTTCCAAAAAATTATTTTTCAAATAGATAAAATTTTGCATATATGAAAATATAAAAGACTATATCCTTTTACTGTTAATTTCTACGTTAAAACAATTCGTTAGAAATAAAGAGTTGAACGATGATTAATTAAAATGAATAATTCGAAAATAAATTGTGATAGAGAAAAATGTAGAAATATAAAATTTGTTACTCCATACCAATGATACGTGAAGTAGTAACGTGTCATCTTTATTTTCTAATTTTCTATTTTCTTCGTTCTTATCAATTACTTTGAAATGTTTATCGTATATTTTAATAGCGGAATCCAAAGTGTCAGATCCAGATAACAGATTGAAAATCATATACGTAGGAATTATATCTGATGAGGTAATTTCTGAGGTTTTAATAGGCCAACTCTTTCACAGTGTATTGTTATATGAAACACGGAATAGCGAATAAATATCTCGTCGAGGATACAGTCTATTATCGTCCAAAATATCTATTAAGTTTTCATAATATTGTTTGAAAGTCTCATATTTACAAGATTAAGAGAACGTATTATACTCTCCATGAAACAATGAAAAGTGAATATCGTTCAAACATTTGTTGATATTTATTATTCCGAAATTTTAAATTTTGTGCTTGCTGTGTTGTTAAGTGGTCAATGATCTCAATTCCTCGTTTCAACAATTCTCATATTATTAAATAATAATTGAAGGATTCGTAGTAAAAATGATTCTAGCCAAACTTTTCCAAGATAAGAATCTTCTGTTCAGAAGATTTTATACAAATGTATAAATTGTAAAAAAATAATATTAGACAAATTAATAATTGCTAAAAATATGATTATCATTAATTCTTATCAGATCCAAATGAATGAAAATTAATTGTTTCCACAAAAATAATTATTTTTCTTGTCAAAAGTGAATAGAGCTACTACTTTATTTCATCTTAAATCATTGTAATTATGATTTAACAACAATAGAGAAAACGAATATTTTTAATTATTTCCATTGTCTGTTATTTCATTTCTTGAAGCATATTGAATTCAAATGAGGATCTATCTATTATTCATTTATCCATCTAATTCGAAAATGTAGAAACAAAATTATTGAATTAACATCTCTCGCGATATACAATTATAAATAATCCGTAAGAATTAAAAATCTCATATCTATAATTTTCAGTAACATATTCACTACGAATCCCTCAATTACATCAACTGTTGTAAGACTGGAATTTTCGAATTCTTCTTCTATTTAATCATATCTAAGCGAATTTCATCCGAAAGATTCACTGGCAAAATTCGATGCTCGCTTATTATTAGGAAGCTCTTTCTCCTCGTCTTAACCCTACTTCACCCTAGTTCCCTTTATCGATATTGAAAAAGCTTGTCGAACCACTTTTGGAAGATGAAAACGCCCGCCTGGAAATCTTAATCATCGAAACACCCTCCTTCCATCTCGCTTATCCTAAAGTTCTTAATCTAAATTGCGTGTCCCGACTTCCGATCTCTCGAAAAATCCGCCCATAGGAAGAAGAAACGTTTATTGCATCTCTTGGATCACTTGTGAACAACAATTTCCCTTCGAAAATTAACAAGCACAAGCATACACCTTCGTCTTAAAATTTCCAATAATAATTAATAAAACAAAAGATTCTTCCAATTTACACAGTTTATCGAACGTCACTTTTCACAAAAAAAAAAAAAAAAAAAAAAATCTTGAAACGATTCGAATACAATCTTCAAAATTTTCTGCCTTCGAATTTCATTATTTTCAAATATCCTCCGATTATTATATTCGATATATTCGATATATTTATACTATAACGATTGATTGACAAAACAAAACGATTCTCTGTCACACTTGAAACAATAATCAATCACTTTGCACTCCAAACTTGCACACTCGTTTCTGGAAAACTTGATTTATCATATAACACGATCTTCAAAATTTCTCTTTTCCAAATCTTATCAATATTCAAGGTATCTCTTCTCAAATGTTTCTCTTCTCTCTTCATCATCTTATGATATTAAAAGGAGCGATCGACGATCGAGCACGGTTCCTCCGCTTCCGGTTCTCGCGGGCCGGAAGTCGGTGGTGTTCACCGCCGATGTTAAACCCTGGTGACAGCGATCCCCGGCCTCCCGGGGCCGAATGCCTACCTGGACGGTCTCCACGTTTGATTCCTGTACCTGCAGAGCAACACCTTCTTGAACGCTTGTCTGAACACCTTGTTGAAGATGGTGTAGAAGATGGGGTTCACCATGGAGCTGGCGTAGCCTAGCCAGGTGGCCAGGTCGAATATCTTGTGGTCGATTTGTCTCTCGCAGTTGGGGCACACGGCTGGGATCAGGTTGAGAACGAAGAACGGCGCCCACAGTATCACGAACGTGAAGAACACTACCCCAAGCACTTTGGTGGCCTTCTGCTCGAGCCTGATGATCCGACCGTGGCGCGAGCTGTTGCGGGACACCACGCTGCTCGTCCTTGAGTGGTGGCTGCGTACCGTCGTTTGGTATCTGTGGGGGCACGGGGAGGATGAATTGCTGCTTTGCCTCGAGCTGATGCTCGCGGCGCCGTTATGGGCACGCATCGTCGCCGCGCGGCGGATCGGCGCTGGCCTCGACGTCAGCAGAGTGGTCCTCGTGCTTCCTGCGGAGGACAGATTTTTGGAAATTGTACGTTTTCAAATTTTAAGATTGGGATGATCGATTTCACCTAAAAATTTTCATGGGTACGATATGGTTTCTTTCCCTTTTTCTCTTTCTTCTAATATATCGTTATCTCGTATTCTGACGGTATGAGTTGGCTCAAGTTTCAAGAATGAATAACTTAGGTTTTTATCAATAAATTCATTCACTTTTTTGGGTCATCTGTGTCCGCCCGTCTAAAATTAGATTCTCTAGCGCATCTATCATATTCATTAGAGATTCGATAATTCATATATGTCAGCTTTTCAACAAAGAAGGCCTCCTTTCCTAAGAGATCGATCAATCTCTTATTTACATTCACATTTTGTTCTCCAATGCTAGAAGAATTTCGATCCTTATCACACGAAAATAATCAACAAGGTTCATCAAATAGATCCTATATTAAATAGTATTTCAAAATTAAACTGCTCCCATAATCGTAAAAAGAATAATACTTATAATTCAATATCCAAATCCTTCTCTAAATTAATTAATTCTAAATTAATTAATTATTCGTCTCTCGAAATTTTGCACTACCAAAAAAAAAAACAAAAAACAAAAAACAAAAAACAAACTTACATTTCCAATCCCAACAAGCCCGATCAACCGCGCCAACCCTCAAAGAAAAAACAGCGCACAGGAACTCGAACTCGGCCAACACCGAACTGGAAAACCATTCCACCGACCCATCGCCTCCTCACACATTTCCAATCAATCCGTCCACCTCCTCCCCTTACCCACCTCCCAGACTAGACCCCCTCCTGCACCCTCTCCACGTAACAACGGAATTCAGCTCGTAGCTTCTGCTGCCCTCCATCCTTCCGCTGTTGCTCCTTCCCAGGAAAGCCGCCTCGAGATTCTTGCCCGAGATCGGCCTCATAGTGTCGCTGGAAACGATCACGATCTCGGTGGACGGTTGGGGCGGGGGTCTCCTCGACGATTCGCCGAAGTATGGGCACGTGCACGGTGGCGGAAGGGCGATCTCCCCCTCCTGTTTGTCGCTCGACTTGCGACTCTGCGGCGTTTCCTCGTTCGAGGAGCTCTTCCTCGAAACGGAGGAGCCACGGCCGAACACGGGCTGCTCGTGGAAGCTGAACGATCGTTTCCTCGGCGTCTTCGGCGATCCCGACTCGGCCCGCTCCAGATGTGCCTCGTTGAACGTGGACGCGCGTCGTCGTGGATGCTTCCACGGTGTTGGCGAGCTGAGGTCCTCTTGGATCGAGAGGCTCGTCCTGGAACCGGAAGCGCTGCTGCCGCCGCTCTCTCCGCTCCTGAAATTTTCAACCGACGTGGTTAGAATGTTGAATTCTAGAATTAGTGGTTAGAATTCTTTTGGTGAATAATAGTTTTTCTTTTGAGTTCTTTTGGGTTGAAAAGAGGATATTTAGAGCTTGAAATGTGGAATTTTCGTTCTTGCGTGGAACGAAGATTTATTGGAAGTTTTTATGGATATATTTGGATTCTTGAGAGAGTTTGAAAAGGAGAATAGGTTTTTTCTTTGTTGGTATTGGGGAAAGAGCGTATGTTTGTGTAATGTGTGCATTTAGAGTTTGTAGAATTTACATTCTTGTGCGAAGAATGAAGGTATAAATGGTGGTTTTTTTGTGGATGTTGAAGAGAGAGTATATAACAGTTTGTAATGTATACTTATACAAAAATGTGAATTGAATAAATTTTAAAGAACGAAGTTTTTAATGATTCATTTATGAAAATTTAATGAATTAGTATCATTTATCAGAATTCCTCGTTTTTTCGTACTGAAGATTTATCGTGTTCCTGTTGAAAGATGTGTCTATTTAATCATCAAAGTTTACAATTTATGTACGATGGCGGACCATCATATTTTCTTGTCGAGTTCTCAAGAAATATGATCCGTAGAAAGTAGATAGAATTTATACTTCACGAATATTAGTGAAAATTTTGAAGTAAAATTTCGTAATTTTCATTACAAAATTTATACAATATTAATAACTACACATACAAAATATAATATTTCATACACGAATAATTCACCTATCTATCTTTCATCTTAATTTAAAATTCAAATCCATAAACCAATAATTTCATAACCATCTCTCAAACCACTCATCAGTGATTATTTGATGCACGAAAAACTCTCTCTAATTATCAATCTCGATTCTACTCTTTAATCGTATAATAATCGAATTTTTTTTTTTATTATCTCTTACCAATAAAATCATACCAAATTCTAACGTTGAATCAAAAACCAATAAGACTTCAAAATTTCAAATCATAGCCGACCAATGTTAATGCAAAAATTACTGCAGAAACTTTTAAATCCTCCCCCATTTTATCTGAAACAAAAAAAAATATAAAGTTCGCATTCGGGATGACGATGGAAACAATTCTCCGACCGGAAGGCAGCATTTTTAGATCGACCTCCTCATTTCTCCACACTCTTTATCCCCCTATGTTGCTACAGAAAATAGTAATGGAACGGTCTGATTGAAAAAAAGAAGAAAAAAAAAATATGAAGGGACCCACGTGTATCCTCTGGACGAAAAAAGGTCGATGGATGTCGCGTCGTCGCTATAAATTCGACACATATGAAACGCAGCTGCACTTTTGACGCGTTCTATCCATTATTGGGGATCGGCCAGCCATTATTGCATATCGCGGCTTTCTGTCCACGGCCTGGACCAAAGGCAAAGTAGTTGATGAAGCTCGGTTTTATCGCCGACAACGTGTTCGAGTGATTCGTAACCTTCGAATCAAGCTTAAAACATGACGAAATTAAAGCTGAAAAAGATAAGGCCTATAGATTGATTTGAGAATGAAATTCGAATTTTGAAATGAAAATTTGATTGTTGAATTGATTATATATAGAAATATTTAACTCTAGTGGATTAAGGTTGATGAAGATTAGTAATTGAGTCGCTAGAATTTAGAAATGATCATTTCAAGAGAAAATTTAAGAAAAGAATTTAAAAACTCTCGTTATCGTTATAAATATTACAAGTTTCTCTGTAATTCTTTTTATCGTATATTTTTATTAAGTTGAGTCCAATTACAAACTAGATATTCAGAATATCTAGTTTCCCCTAACCCTTTGACAAATATAAAAATTCAAAAAGTAAAAATTTGACGAAGAAGGGGAATTTATTATCGGGACAACGCTATAATCCTTTTTCCTATATCCCTTGCTAAGTTATTTAATAATGCTGCCACGAAATACTGTACAATACTATCATCGAAGATTCTTTGCCAAGTCCACGCAGCTTTTCATTTCCTCGGCAGGTTCATTATTGCAGGAATTCTTCGGATAACTTCACCGGTGTTTTTAAAATTTCATAGAAAACTTCCGACGATGTCCTGTACAACTTCATAATAGCTTCTAACATTTCTTTTCAAAGGGGCGATGGACAAAAGACGCGTCGGTGAACAGGTGGACAAAGGAATGTCGAGATTTTTGAAGTTAAAAAATGTTCGAATTTATTTTATAAAAAAATAAAAATTCGTGTGCATGCAAAAATGTACATCCTACATATTTACAAATATGAATGAAACATTTATAGAAAGTGTAAGGAATCTGAAGGAATTATAAAAATCTTTGACAATTATTATCTCTTTTTGAATTTATACGTACGAATAAAAATATAAAAATCGAAATTTAGATTTATTTTATCGTGTATATATTCACCAATATATATTTTTATTTAATTCCATCGAATTCAAATGAATTAAACAAACTTCTTCGATCGTCTTCTTTTCCATTTAATTCTTTATAAATTCATGTCAACAGAAATAGGCAATTTTGATTAAGAAACGTGCCTTTGATAATCCATCATCTTTCTATGATTCTCTCTTTTATTAATCATTAGCCATAGATTGCATTATAGTTCTCGTCTCCGCCACTAGAGGCTCCACTTTGACCACGATTCTCGCATGTACTTATCCACCCACAACGTTCACAACGAATTATGAATAATTCTACATTTTGTTTTTGAAATTAAGAAAAAAAGAAAGAAAGAATTCTTCGAGGGATTAAAATTGATTCGAGTGAAAGAATACATAAATCTCTAACCCAATCTCAAATCTTATTATCGTTGTTAAAAAGAATCTTTTAAATAAATCTTTTAAATAAGTTCTAATTTGTGAAATTTCATTAATATAATTATATTTTGATTATTCAAGAGGGGATAATACTTACGAAAAAAAAAAAAAAAAGGGTACACGTGGGACAGGTGGAAAAACATTGTTGGGGGAATTTCAGTTTCTCGATAGTTCGATAGAACGATCCCGAAACACTTTCGAAATTGAAACTCGAATAGGATATTGTTGCCGAAATCGATTGTCGGCTGAGTGATCGTTGACCAAGGTCTTCCCATTCGGTCGACCGATGCGGTTGATTGAAGATGTCTCGAGTGGCTGCGGTAAAATCAAAAACGCGAACGTATCCGTTCCATCGACACTTTCTTCGTTCATGAATCGCGTTTCAGTACCAGATATTCGTCCATTTTCCAAAGGAAAATGGCCTCGAAGAATCAAGGAGAGATAGAAAGAATTTTAGAAACTTGGAACAGCTCTTGAAGATTCAGTTGAAGATTCGATCGAGATTCGAAATGGTGAATTTGAAAAGATAATGGTTTGCAAGAGTTTGAATACTTTTTGATCGATTAATTTTAAATTCTAATTTCAAGGTTTTGCTTGTTTCTATTGCTTAAACATTTCTCGTTGAGATTTGTTTTGATTTTATCCAATTTCTGATTGATTTCAATGAGAGTCACTTCAATTTCCATTTTCAAATTTGCTTTAATTACATTTTCTTTTCTTTTCTTTTCTTTTTTTTTTTGTATTTATTATTACTTGAAATGTAATTTTATACTTTTTAAAATTCCAATTTTGATATTATACAATGCTTAAATATTATTTTTAAGCGTTTAATTTATTATTTTTCAAAATGCAAACCGGATAATCAAACAATCTTTCCAATTAAAAAGACAAGAATTGTTTCGAAATACCACAAATAAATAGCTAATAAATTTAGAAAGGCTGTTTCCAATTGAAAGAAATAAGAGAATTAAAGTAAAGGGATTAAAAATCTTTCCACCTAAAATTATCCTTTTAGAAAGGACATTATTTATAGGGATAACCTAATATATTGCGGTTCCCTTAGCGAATCGCACTTAGCTCGTAGCAAAGTGCAAAACGTAGCGGCGGCCACTTAAGTAAACTGCTCTTACCTGGCCCCCTCCTCTCTAATAAAGGAATGCACTTAGCCGTATCCACAAAGGATTCGCGCTTTGCTCGTCACTTTGAAACCCTCTTTGAACGCGATCCAAGTTCAGAAGAACTTGGTCGCGTCTGGTAATTGTCCTGGAAACGGCCGTCGTCTTTTTCCATCCACCTGGAAACCTTTCTAACCTTTCCAGAGAGTGGAGACAAGTGGAGACAAAAGGAGTCGTCCACTTGTCGATGTCGAAACAACGATTCAATTAACGCGGATGGAACGAGCATTCTTTGTTTCCTATCGTTTCACACGATTTGTATCTTCGACGACACCTGTTCGATCGTTGCGGGGATGGAGATTGGTTGTTTCTTGATTTCATTGGCTCTTGTGATTCTTGGCATTAATTTGGAGCAGAGAATATTTTTTTTTTTTTCACAAGCGTTCGAAGAACAATCGCAATGATCGACTCTTTGACTTTTTGCGATTTAAAGAGTTAATTTGGATTTGATGATGCAGAGAATATTTTTTGAAAGATTGAATTCCATTGATTCAGTGTGTGATTATTTATCGATCGATAATACTTTTATTCAAGCTTTTTATTGTTGGCTTAACACATGTGGATCTAAAGAGACTCGTGTGAAAAGCGAAATTCACGATTTATCATTGAATTTAGATAGATTGTAATTTAATGCACATGTTTTTAATTTTTTGTATCTGACCTTTATACATAGATTTCATTTAACCATATAATAATTTTAACAAAAGTTTTGATCTTCTATTCTAAAAATTTCATGAATATTAATATGTATTTTCCATTATAATTTGCATATGGATTTCACTTAACAATTTGAAATCGATTACGTTTTATCTAAAAAATATCAAACGATTCGTTTTTTCGATGGAACTCGATTTATCCATTGTTTTCATCTTATTTTATCGAACAGCACCATCCCTTTTCTCGTTCCACCGCGATTTCCACTCTATCCTCCTTTATTATTGCTGAAACGTCAGAGGGAGAGTTGTTTTCCGTGTGACTTTTTCTCTCCGCAAAAAAAGAGAAAAGGAAGAGGGGAAAAAAAAAGAAAAAAGGAGGAGGGAAAAAAAAAGAGAAAAGGAGGAGGGAAAAAAAAAAGGAAGAGGAAAAGGGTGGTCCCGCTTGAAAGGCTGACACGATCCCAGTGGGATATACTATAAAGATAACAGGAGCTTCTTTCACTTGGCGTAACATCGCGTGTGAGATAAAGTTCTTATCATTCGATTTGCCAGAAAGTCGTTGAAAGAATCGAATGGAATTTTAATAATTGAATATTATTAGTAATTCTGTGGCTCGATATCGCAGATTTATTATCTTTGAGGGCGTCAATTATGAGCCATCGATTTTCTTGGAACAAAAAAAAAAAAAAAGGAAAAAAATGTCAAATTTTCGATTTTGCATATTTCTGAAATATTTTCAATTTAAAGAATAATGATAGATTCCTTCGCAAAATTCCTTCTCTCCATAAAAATTCCATCATCATCGTATCAAAAGTCAATATTTCACCACCAAATCCCTTCGATCGATCTACGATGGTAATTAGCGCCCCTAATTCCCGATGTTAGGCCAAGTTTCGCATATTTCAACCGAATGTGACTCGAAGTATTAGCGAACTGTCTCGCGGCCCATACTTCATCGAACTCTGCATACCAGAAGCGCTTGAGGGAGCGAGAAGTTGCGATATTATCGGGGAAGGGGATATAGCCACGAGGAGGAGGGGTGAATGTGGCTGCATCGGCATGCAACGTCGTTACCACGAGTTACGTATCCTTGATCGACAGTTTCGAGAATGGTGGAAGGATCGAGGCAATCGTGATTCTTATAAGGTATTGGCCTATTGCATGGTTTACTTCATCGTTGAGAGTATTTATAATTATTGATTGTCGAAGGATTATAACGAAAGAGTAATAAGAAGAAAATTCTTTGAACTTCTTTGTGAGTTATGACTTTTAATGACGAATAAAATTTGAATTTTTAATGATAATATTGGATTATCAAATTTTTTTGAGAAATTTTCAAATTACTTTGAAGGATTGTTTTCGTTGATTTTTTTATAATTTTTATTTTAAATTCTTTCTTTTCGCGTTGGAAATTCTTCAGAAGAAATATTATAATTCACAATATAAAATAAAAAATATTTAAAAATAAGTTAAAACTTTTGCATAATTTTAAAAATTAATTTTTGAATATCTTTGAAGATTAAAAGGAAATTTTATTCACTATTAGATAATAATGATAAATTTTTTATTTCTTCAATGATAATAAATATCTCTTGATTTCCTTCTTTGAATTCGTAATTTTAAGCTTTTTAAGCTTCTTCATTATGTTGTTAGTATTTAATGGAGAAACAATTGGGTAAATTTTGTTATTGGAATGAAGCTCGAGTTTAAGTACCATCCCTCTTTTTAGTTGTTCGATACTTCGCATGGCTCGGTAATTGATATATTCTGAACTGAAACTTTTGACGTTACAAATGTTAAACATTGGATTACTTAGTTCGAAGAAAATTTAATTTTTAAAAATCAATTAGCTTCTCTTCTCCCTAATTTGATAATTAGTAAAAGTTTTCGATATTTCAAAAACTTTTTTTGGCTTTCAAAATCAAAATTGACACGAGCTAAAATATTATACAATACTTTTCGCAATATTGGAATAAGATAGTATTAAATTGTTTGAAGTTTTTTAACATTAAATCGTATAATTGAAATTCTTCTGATTTTCGTTATCCAGTTGAAAATAAATATTGATTATCGATCGATGCAATGATTATTTTTCATTTATTTAATTGTTCTATACATTTTTTTGTATGCATTTTTGATATCATTATTTCTTAATTATCGAATTAACCTGTTAATCGAATTCAAAATTATTAAAAATTCCGAACAATTGTGAAAAATTAATCAAATTGTAACCACATTGATATGATTCAAAATTCACACAAAAAAAATTTTCTACGTCGCTTAATACGAATATTAAAATTTTAATAAAAATTTCTCAATCCATTCTATGAAACCAAAAACTCTTCGATCCAAATTAATTTCCATCGAATCTCGAATAAACTTTGACGATATTTAATCGAAAAATCTTCGACGAGTTGACACACAGGCCAATTTTCAAAAAGATATAAGACGAGAAATATTCCACGTCTGTCATGTTTCCACCAAAGTCGTGGAGGAAGATATTCGCGAATCGCGATTCCTCACGCGGAAGATATTTTCCGACTGGATGCAGTTCACTATGGGTGACAGTTTGTTTCGAAACTGGGATCGACAGTCAAGCGTCTTATATTTTATCTTCGAGTAAGGGATGTTCAATTTGCTGGAAAGATGAAGAGACGAGGGAGAATTTCGTTTGGAATTTTATTTCACACGTGTCTCGTATTTGAGTGTCGATGATAGGAGGTTCGATCGCGTTTGATGTTGGTTTGGGATGGTTTTCTTTTTTTTTTTTTTTTATTGTATTCGAAGAGAATGATTGATCGATTTTTCCCCTTTCAATCAAATTTATTAAGGGAATTATTGTTGTTCTCGTTCTGAAAAATCCTGAAGATTTTAAATTTTAAAATGAAACTATTGTGTAATTATTGAATGTTTGTGAATGTTGTTTTTTTTTTTTTTATGGCAGATGTAACTTCGTTTGGTAAGAAACACGCATCGTTGAATAAATTTCTACGTTCCATGTGTATATTTGTAGTAAACAATGGCATTGAACACAAATATGAGTGTGTAATTCAACTGTAGCTCAATTTCAATATTTAAATATCTATAGAATGCAAACAAGCAAATATTGGCCACTGAAAAATAATATCCAAACACTTGCCTGCTCTCGATTTAATTTAATTTAATTTAATTATAAAATTGTGGATAAAACGATCGATTTCTCTTTTTTATGATCACTATTTCTGCAAACAACTCTCACTACAATTTGCTTTATTCGTAACTTTTAAGTTATAAAATTTTACCAATAAACAATTACTAAAACAATTCTTTCATATCCTATTTAAACAATACTCTGATCAGACATTGACCAATCTTGAATAAATATAAACTCGATATGTGAATACTTTTGCGCAAACAAATTGTGAAAACATTTGAAAAACACAATTTGGAAGACGGAAGAAAATGAGTGGCATCACGTTTCCTTGCATCCCTCTGTTCTGAAAAATCTACAAAAAAAGCAATCTCCTCGCTGAAACAGTATACCATCTTTCTTACCCGTGACGGAAGCTGCACCTGTGCGACTGTTGCTGATGCTGATGTTGCTGGATCGAGTGTTGAGGCGTGGACCTCGGCGTGCCCATAGGGCTTCCAGGGCTGGTGATACCCTCCAGACCTCTGGACAACTTGAGCATCTCTGCGCCAAAAGCGTGAAGGGCGAACATGGCCGAGGGTGGCGGCTCGCTTTCCGGAAGCCAGAGTTCGTGAGTGTCCAGTGTCGTCAGCTCGGTGTCTGTCGACGTGCCGGAAGTGTGCTGCGGTGTACCACCGCTTCCGGCCGGGCTTTTGCTCAACAGAAATCGCTTCCACGTACCTTTCCTGTCCAGGCCTACGGCAGAAAGGAAATTAAGTTAATCGAAACTCTTCTTTGCGTAGCCCTGTGTTTATTTTTTCTTTTCTCGATTCTAAAGATTTGTTAAGGAAAATTTGGATCGAAGCGAGGAAAATTGAAATTAATGAAAGATTTTTCTTTGCTGCGTGCAGTTTTTTGACGAAGAAGATGTGGGTTAAAGGGAAATATTGAGTGATTGAATTAATAATTTTTTTTCTCTTTGATTTATTGTATGATATAATTGTGATATTGGAAATGTGATATTAATTGGAAAATTTTGTTTGAGGATTGAAAATTATGGATTTTGAAAGAAATTCGAAGAAGTTATATAAGATAGATTTTATGAGTGATTTATGGAAGAAAGGTAATTGTTTGAATTGAATACAAAAATGTAAAGTACTAAAGAAACCGTAAAATGTACAGCTTCCAGTATTTCTGGAATTCGCTGTTTAAGAGTTGTTCAATATGAAAGCTTCAAACGAGATGAAATTTAATCTGAAACTCGTTTGAATAACTGAGCAAACTTCGATAATTGTAAAATACTTCAAAATACTTTAATTTCTCATTGTAGTTTATTCAATTCCCCGATTAAAAAATATTCAAACCAAATATATTTATAATTACTTAAAATTTTCGAAACGAAAATCAAATCTTTTTTTAAAAATCATCATAAATTACATTCATTGACAAACTACATAAACATTGTAATTAACATAAATTTATCAAAATTAATCAAAATTTATTATTCCCAATAGATCTATCTAAATCCATACAAAAAAAAAGAAAAAAAAAAGAATGCAACTTCTTATTTCGTCAAAATATAGAATCGAACGTGTCACTGAAGAAATATTATATTTTCGGATACAAGTTTGCATAAAATCGAGGTATACTGAAAAATGTCGGATAGTATTATCGAGATATTTACATTGGAAATTGGATTTTTATTCCAGTTATAGGAACTAGATTTAGCTATTGGAAATGAACAATTTTATTTTACATATAAAAAGATACCAAATGAATTTTCCATTCTTATATATTTTTAATTGTAATTTTTCATTTTCTTGTAATTTTATAATCCAAAGGATTATACAACAAGCTTCTCCACCCACTATTTCTACTCGATGCTCCTCCTTTCAATCCTTTCAATGTCTCAAGACTGTCTGCACCTTATTCCAAAATGAAAAGGTACGAAAGACTCGAGTGTTTCTCTGATTTCGCTTGATTTATATCCCTACACCGCTTCCTCTCTTATGTCTGTATCGATTAATTTCGATTATTCGGAAGCGCCCTTTTTAGCATACCGTGTCACGTCCGGGACTTTTGCATAATGGGCCACGATTTGCATGAAATTTCTTATCGTCCACCGGCCATCGTTGGATGCAAAAGAAATTGATAAGAAGTGACACGCGTCCGATGGACAAAGAAAAATGTCGGCCAACAATCTTGTCGGATACAGGAGAACACGAATAGCCAGATCAAAGTTGACTTGTGATCGAAGTGGAGAAGATGAATAACTGCGTGATGGAAAGTTTGCAACTCTAACTCTCGAAATGATTGATTAATTTTTTGATCCAAAAAAAAAAATTGCAAAAAAATATCATTTACATCGACACGAGAAATAAGTATTCAAAATTATTTGGATACTTATGGAATAATGGAATACTAGTGTTATATTTTGTCAAATATGGGGAAGAACGAGAATTAAAATAAACAACATATTCAACTAGTGAAATGTCAAGAGAAATCTTATAACTGGAGATAGTCCAGCCAACATTACGTTGGATCGTCTCAATTGATTATCTAATATTGTAGTACATACTGCATCAAGTACTTGGTGCCACTTGGGAATATTACGTGTTGGTGGTAGTAATAGTGGTTCAAAATCCATTTTCAATTGTAAGTTTCCTAATGACCATTACTTGATGCTAGTTAATAACATTAACAATAATAATGATCGTGAAATTTTGTGCAACGACTCTATATTGATCAGATTAAGATCAGTTTTCAACTCTCTGGATGATTATTTCTATTTCGAAGTAAGGAATGGATTAATTTTATTTTAATTTGCCATTAAGAAAGAAAATAGTTGAGATAATAAGAATAATAGTAGAGTAATTAATTAATTCGAAAAATTTTAAGTAATAGAAATTTCATTAATTAATTTACACTTTTATCTGATTAAAATTTTCATTTCATCAGAAGAGATTAATATCCTTTGTTTTCTATAATGTGATTATATTGAAAACATTAAAAACTTGATAAAAATTAAACGTTTCTTTAAAGAGTGTCACTTCTGTATTTAAAGAAGTTCCTAATTAAAACATAATTCACTTAAAGAGTTAATTATTAATAAGCATTATATGACGTTTATATTAGCAAAGATTAAATTCGCCTTTATTAAGTTTTAGCTCCGTGTCTAACGTAATTTCTGATTAAAAAGCAGCTAGAGGTTACTAGGTTAACCTAATAGAAAAATGCTTTATGACACTTCTTCGTTATCACGTTTATATAAAGATAAAAGTGAAACACAAAGTGTCATTAATTAATTGTTAAAAATATATATATTTAAAATTTAATTTCTTTTAATTATTACTTTTTATTACTTACTATCTGAAACGAAAGTTAAAATTTTAAATTGTTATTTCATTTCAGAAATTTTTTTTATTTTTATCTCTGTCACATTTTCTTAACACATCGATGATCGAATATTCGATATTTCGAGAGGGAGAAGTATATATCGATCGTTCTCTCTTCGTACTGAAATACAGTATTCATTTTCTTCGAATATACCAATGTCATCCTCTACATATTTCAAACCAGTACTGTAATTTATATCATCCGATATAACCGCGAATATAGAATTTCGAGAATTTTCAGACCATGCAATGTCTGGAAGCACGGATTGACAGTTAATTTTCTTCTTTCGATTTTGAAAAACAGTATGTACATTTTTAAAAACTATTCATTATCGAGAAACGAAAGATAATCTATATTATACTAATATTCGTATAAAGACTAGTATTTGTCTTCATAAAATAATCTTTGAAGAAAAATATTAACATTATCATCAATAAACGAAATTTTATTAATTATCGTATTTATTGTTGTAATAATCCTATTCATGAACAAGATTAATGAGTTGATTGGTTGGATTTTAAATGCAAGTAGCAGTTTTTTAATTAATCTTTCGTAAATAAATAATATTTTCTCAGATTACTCATCGACAATTTCGAAGGTAAAAAATTGGGTAATTAATCTTCTTTTACAAAATTAATTAAGATTCTCATTATCCTGTTCATTAGTTGGATTTCAAGGTAGACATCTTTGATCAATTATGGTTTCGCTTTCGAACAAAATATATTATATCGAAATTCGTCGTTTAAATTTCAAATTGAAGTAAATATATATGATATATAATTTACACAATATATTTTTTTGAAACGAAAATTTCTACGATCATAGAGGGTTAACTAATTCCGAAAATCTCGCCGAAATTAGAATACACCTGGAGGAATCTGGAGCAGGCCTGATTTCTTAAACCGTTACCTTTTGTTTTACCGACACTTTTGGCGCTTGTTGCGAAACACGAACGATCAATTTGCAAGTGAAATCGTTCGATGCAAATGTAGGAGTCGAAGGAGGCGTCGGTTTGCGCCCCAATTTATGCCGGTTTAGGCTCGCAAAACTTTTTCAGTATTCGTTGCAATTTGTCAAAGTTTGTCGAACAGTAGAAGGAGTATCGTTACTTGCAAGAATTGCGATTTTTTTGTTTCCCTGTCAAGCGAATTTACTTGCTTTTCTTTTGTAATTTTAATAGAAATAGGATGAACTTTTATTTTTATTTTTGTAAAAATTAATTACCAAATTTTTTCCCTTTTATTATCAAAATTATCATCAATTTGATACAATTGATTAAAAAATTTATTGAAAAATTATGCAATTTAGACATCATAATAATTTAAGTAATTATGATGCTATAATTAAATTGATAATAAACAGAAATTTGAATTATTTATTTTCTTCCTTTTTTTTATATTTATGTAAAATTAAATTAAATCAATAATATACTATTTGCATTACATCTCGAGAATTATAATTTAATATTCTTAAAGAAACAAATTTTGTAGATATTGTAGATTTGGAAAAAGAAAAAAACTTTAATCAGGATAATAAATCATGCGAAATAATAAACATAAAAATTTAAATACGACGACACCGAGGATCTCGATTCGTGGTTCGAAGAATAAGGAAAAGGATTTAATTTTTTTTCTCGAGAAGACTGCACCCTCGAACAAAGAGGGCGACCGATCTATAGAATTTCTTAATCGCAATCTCCGCCGAATATCTGGCGGAGGCCTTGGATTACAACGAAATTCCACGTAATACCCTTTCCTCGTTCAACCTCCTTGTTCGACAATGGCGGCTACTCGCGTTTACGTTACAATTTTCTCTTTTGGTTTTGATTAAAAATCGACCCTCTGCCACCGAAAATGTCGTTACCCGATTCGACTTTGATCCGACGACGAGCAGACGAAATCGAATAGGATTTTATCGTTTTCCATTTGCGATCCCCTGTTTTATTTTCTTTTTCTTCTTCTTTTTCTCTTCTTATTTCCTCTTATTTTATAAGTTGAATTTGAAAACATTTTTGACATTGTTTTTTTTTTTAATTGTTATTAATTAAAAATCAATTGAAATATCTCTGAACAGGAATAATTGCCAAGTAAATTCGATGAAAAAAAATATATATAAAAATTAGGAAAAATTTGAGCTTTAATTTCGAAGATATTGACTTTTGGTCAATGAATGAATGATCATTAGAAACGCGAAAGCTTCCCCTTAAAAACACATTTTTATTTATCTCAATTTCCGGTCTTCGAGAAAGAAATGTAAAAAAATGCGAAAGAAAGAAAAGGTAATTTTTATCGTTTACTATTCTTGTTATTCTCTTATTCAGACTTTTCTCGTCTCATTGTTCTATCATAAATGACAGTCGAGATTCTTGAAAGATCTTAATACGCATTTCCAGGGGAAAAAAAATTCCAATGGCATGGTTTCCACTATCTTTCGAGCGTGTTTTAATAAATAATTTTCAATCGAATTATAATGTTGTTTTATAATTAATTGAAAAATATTCATGAAGGAATTCAAATAATCCATTTATATCTCGAGGATAATATTTTTTTTTTATTTTATGAAATTGTATTCCAATTTTGTCTCGAGTTATTGGGGAATATCGATGAGAGAATTTGCGTTGAAGTGATGAGACAATCAATTTGTATTATAATTTTATTTTGAAACGATCGATATCATTGGGTTACAGAAGATCGAAATAGTTTTCATTTGAATCGAGTTAGATGGTTCGATTTTGATTTGCATTTAATTGAAATATATATATAAGGTAATTTAAGTAAATCAATTTCCTATCAAAATCATTGCTAAAATTTAAATTAGAAAATTTGAATCATAAATCAATTTCCATCGTAATATTAAACATTGGTATCATTACACTGCAATTAAGTTACATTCATTTAAAAAACTATAGAAAAGAAAACATGTACATAAATTATTTATCACGCCTAATATCGAAATTTAATAGAAAAAAAAAAAATCTTAATACTTTTATACTTTTTGTCGATGACGTATACGTTCTTCTGTGCCCATTTTATAAGATTTTCTTTTGTCCATCGAAGAACACAATTCGTGCTTTAAAAAATGGCACGATAACTCGTTTCGTTAGATTGAAATCCAGAAAAATGGCGTTTAAAAAACTGTCTCTGAGTCTTGGAGATAATGCAAGTTACCAAGCGTGATATTTTATTCTTTCACAAAAGAAAAAAAAAAATTTCGTTTGAACAAAGACAATTCTGGCATCTAAACAAAGAAAATGTTAATAATGATTAAACGGACGAACAAGAAGATAAAATTCTTCTATTGCTTCAATTAAATAAAATCGTGGAAAAGAAAGGAAGGAGAATTTTCAACGAATTTATATTATTGCACGATTTTCATAAAACTCGCCGCAATATCTCCCAGTTATTTTATTACTTTGTTTGTTGCTGGATTATTTCGAACGATATTTTTCCATTTTTGTTTTTACGCTCTGTGCTCTCTCTTTTATCTTCGTATGAATAGCATGAATATAATTTACTTTGTATTGTTTTTCCAAAATAAGATGCATACCTAGTTTTTAAAATCCGTGAATAATTATAAAAATTCGATACATCGATTTTCTTTCTTCTTTTCTTTTTCTCTCTCGTGAAATTTATAATTAATAAATATAAATTTATTCATTTCATTAAGAGATACAACTTTCTTTTTTTTACGAGAAATATTAATGGAAATAATTCTGAATGAGAATTTATGACATAAATGGATAATCTCAATGGAATCCTGAATTTGTTACGCCAATGATAACTTAATAATAAAGTATATTGTGTAACAATATTGATCGAATTCTGTTGGGAAGTCTGTTGGGAATTATTTCGAAACAGTAGATGCTTTAAAATTATTTTTTTTTTTTTTATATAAGTTTAAACTTTGTCAGGAGTAAAATTTTTTATCAAAGATAACATTTTTGTCAATCTTTTTAAATTACTGTTTCATTTATTCTAAATAATTTTATCCAAAAATTTCTTATATTTAATAATAGAATGTAGCAACAATATTTCTTTAAAATGATTGATTTTTCCATTATCTTTATATCACTTAAGACATATTTTTTGTATTAAATTATTCTCGAAAGTTTTTTTCACCAAGAATTCTCCCAAGAAAAGTTCTCACAAATGATAAAAAAAAAAACATAAATTAATTAAACTTACTATCCTTATAAATACGTGCTACAATTTCTTCTTTAAGAGATCGATTCGATTGTCTTGCTTCTTAAAATCAATAACCCTCAGACAATCTGGATTGCTTTTAATGGATTAATCATAAGCAACAAGCAATCATGTAAACTTTTGCTTTTTATAAGCGTTACACTCTTTTATTTCGTGCTTGTAGTTCAATCTTTTCTCCTCCTCTCGGAACAAATAATTGCAAGAACTTTCTTTCTTGCAAGAAACGCGTTTGCTATAAGCCAAAGCTCTTGTAAACTTTATCGTGTACCGTGATATTGGAATTCTAAGACGCCAAGAAGCTCGTGGAGGTGCACTTTGTAAAAATCTGATATCTTACTATTACTTTATTCTTAGTTTTAAAACTAAGTTGATTTAATCGTATTTTAGAGTAAATAATTCAAGTCGATTGTATTGACAATTAATCTTTATTATTTTTTCTTTTTTTTTTTTGTATACATCGTTGGATATGTCGTTTCCTTTTTTATCTTAGGATTTTATTTTAATTTTATTTTTGATATTATGTATTATTTATATTTTAAGTTATCTGCTTAAAAAATATTCTGTCTTCTTTGATACTTCTAAGATATCTAACGTCTATCTTAAGATATCCTAAAAATTTATTTCATAATCCTTTTTTTGAATAATTTAAAAAAAAAATAAATAAATCTGCTGATTTTTTTATTATTTACTAGAGCTTGGAACTTATATGAAGTCCTAATTCCCAAGCTTTGATAAATAATATATGTAAAAAATCAACAGTTTTCACCCTTAAAAGTTATTTAAAAACGAAGCATGAAGATCAATTTTTCTTCTTTCAAATTCATTATAATTTCCATTTTAAAAAAATTCTCTTCGAAAACCACCACTAACGAATAAAAAAACCCAAAATATTTTTCTTCTTCATTAATAAAAATCTTTCTTTTAACGCAAACATAAATACATCGCGAGACACGAAAATAAAATCATATATTATATAAATCAAAGAGATATAAGAGATAAAAAAACAAGCATACAAAATGGATTGTATCAGTCACGATATACCAATCTCTCGAAAATGGATCCTTAAAATAAAATTATACGAAACACACAAAAAAAAAAAAAAAAGAAAGAAAATAGATAGAAAAGAAATCATACCAAAGTTTATTTTATACGAATCAAAGAGATGAAACAGAGACATGATACGAATGCATCGATAACGAAATGCCTTTGGAGGATTGTATCTGATAATACACTAACCTCTCCAAGATGGGTTCTTGAAATAAAATTATCGAAACGAGACACAAGAAAAATAGAATGGAAAAGGAATAACGGAGCAGAGCCTACATCATACGAATCAAAGAGATAAAGCAGAGACAGACGCGATGCGAATGGATCGATATGCCTTTGGAGGATTGCATCAGTGTACCTGATAATACACTAACCTCCCGAAGATGGGCCCTGCGGGCCACCCAGCCATCCGGAGGACCAACCAGTAGTTCCTCCTATATTCTGTTGCTGTTTCGCCAGCAATCTCACTGTCAACGCGTACGTAAGCAGCATCACGCCCAACGGTATGTAAAAGCAGATTATGCTGCCGATCAACTTGTACAAAGGATCCGGTATTTGACAGGCACCGTCCACCAGCACCGAGTCGTCCTCCTGGAACACGGAATTATGCACTTAGTGTGATTATATATTCGCGCTTTGATCTTCCATACGGGAAAAATTGAATTTTCGTGACGTTATTAGGGATTGATATTTTATTTTTGGATAATAAAATCCGATGGAAGGGGTTCTACTGTAATATAAATTTTTTTTTTTTTTTTGTTTAGAAAGAATCGAAATGAATACATATTGCTTTAATTTTTAATTTTTTTTTTTCTAAGTAGATATTATTTCTGAATAGATATTATAAAATAAAATCGAAATAACGAAAAAGAAATCAAAAAATATTATGTATTTTATTAAAATTATTCTTACTTAATTATACTTGGAAATTTTTGCGAGAAAATTTTCTTTAACGGTATTTTTTTTTTTAATTTAACGTTGCAAAATATAGAAAGATAATAACCACAAGGAAATATAAATATAAAATTTTAGTAAAAAAAGAAATTAATAAGACATTTAACTTTTTCTTTTGATTCAAATAAGAATAATAGCAAATCGTTTTGCACTTAAAAATATTAAAATTATATAATATTGATTGAAATTTATATCAATAAATGCATTCTTCGAAATTTTTCCTATAAAAATATAAAATAAAAGATTAAAACAATCTCAAAAAATCCTAAAATTTCATAATTTCATATATATTATAAAATCGAAATGATTTTATAATATTATAAAATCGAAATGACGAAAAAGAAATCAAAAAATACTAATATATGTATTTTATTAAAATTATTCTTACTTAATTATATATAAATATTGTAATAATGAAATATTTTACTCGTTTTCCAATTATAGACGAAATATTCCACAATTGTATCGCTCGAGCTGCCACGGTCGACGTATCTTACAAGACTGAATGTCGAGGGCACGGCGAACATCGACTCTCGTCTTAGTAAATAAAACGAATTACGTCGTTCGTAACATCGTATAAATTGTATTGTATCGCGGATTATCTCGCTTAATACTTTATTTATCTACCTAAATACAATAATGAGGAGAAATATATCGCCGTGTTGACCCATTTTTCGATTATTTAATTGCACAATTAATAGTCACATTTTAATTTATCGTATAGCTAAAAAAAAAAAATACGCTGGACGATTGCAATGTGTGAGCACTGTAACTATATTTTTTTTTATATACGAAATATTTATAGATTATTTATGAATAATTACATATTATTAAAATTTTTATATTTAATATGTTATAATTATAAACGAAAATTCGATGTTTGGAAGAAATATGATAATGTTAAATTTAAATATATATATGATATCTTTGCTGAAATGATATCTTTATCAAAATAAATCCAAGGAGCATAAAAATATAAAAATAACTAAAATTATAAAATTTAAAAAATCTAAATTTAAATTTAAAATTAAAATCTAAATTTAAAATTTAAAAAATCCATAAAATTATATAGACATAAATGTTATTAAAAATAAAATATAATAATTTCAATGAACTGAATCGCAATTATCCAATATCTTTTGCTTTCTAAAAAAAATAATAACGAAAATACTCAATCGAAAAACTTCTTATTCGTTGCAGAACACCAGAACAGTGTCCCAGTGTGGTCTCACTATTGGCAGAGAGCTACAATCCTCACGTAAGGTACGGAGCAGCGATGGCTCTAGGAATCGCTTGTGCTGGCACCGGCCTGAAGGAAGCCATAGCCCTATTAGACCCAATGACGAACGATTCGGTGAATTTCGTCCGCCAAGGTGCTCTGATCGCCTCTGCAATGATTCTGATTCAACAAACGGAGGCCACCTGTCCTCGCGTCAAAGATTTCAGGGCATTATACGCGAAGGTCGTGGTGGACAAGCACGAGGATGTAATGGCGAAATTTGGCGCCATTTTGGCTCAAGGGATCATCGATGCCGGTGAGTACTCGACGATTTTTGGGACGTNTTATTAAAATTTTTATATTTAATATGTTATAATTATAAACGAAAATTCGATGTTTGGAAGGAATATAATAATGTTAAATTTAAATATCATATCTTTGCTGAAATGATATCTTTATCAAAATGAATTCAAGGAGCATAAAAATATAAAAATAACTAAGTCCATAAAATTATATAGACATAAATATTATTAAAAATAAAATAATAAAATTTCAATGAACTGAATCGCAATTATCCAATATCTTTTGCTTTCTAAAAAAAATAATAACGAAAATATTCAATCGAAAAACTTCTTATTCGTTGCAGAACACCAGAACAGTGTCCCAGTGTGGTCTCACTATTGGCAGAGAGCTACAATCCTCACGTAAGGTACGGAGCAGCGATGGCTCTAGGAATCGCTTGTGCTGGCACCGGCCTGAAGGAAGCCATAGCCCTATTAGACCCAATGACGAACGATTCGGTGAATTTCGTCCGCCAAGGTGCTCTGATCGCCTCTGCAATGATTCTGATTCAACAAACGGAGGCCACCTGTCCTCGCGTCAAAGATTTCAGGGCATTATACGCGAAGGTCGTGGTGGACAAGCACGAGGATGTAATGGCGAAATTTGGCGCCATTTTGGCTCAAGGGATCATCGATGCCGGTGAGTACTCGACGATTTTTGGGACGTTAAACGGCTGTTTTCGATGCTCGATAAGCCTCTTGGCTGGAATATGATACAGATCGTCGATCAAAGAATTTCTTATTTCGAGGCAGTTGTCGACAGAAAATAGCGAAATCGAAGAATCCTCCGTTGAACGTTGGTCGTGATGGTGTTATTGGAGTATTGTTCAAAGAATTGACGAGGAAGTTGACGAGCTCCTTTCGTTACGATCGATGGATTCGACGTGTTCCGATGGTAAACGGATTGCGGATTTGTTTTATTTGTAATAGTCTACGAATTTTTTTTTTTATGGATATTCTAGGACAAATTACGAATATTTCTGTCACCGTGATATTTTTATTACGTAATATTACGGTTTTCAACAGTATTTTTTTAAAGGAATGTTATTCGATTGGAATATCGAGATTGAAGATGAAGAAATTTTTATACTTATTATAAGAGCTTAAAAGATAAACAAAAATATGGATCCAATACAATAACATCATTTTTAAATTAACAGTCATCTAATTGAAATAGAATAATAATTATTGGAATGATAAATAATTAAATCGAATATGGATAATTATAATTCTATAAACAAAGAAATAAGGAATTTAAAAATTATTTAAAATAAATTATTTGTTTGTCGATACCCTCAAGATAGAAAGGATATCTCAAAAATATTTCACATTTTACAATAATAATAAACATTTTACGTTTTAAATGATTATTCCAGGTGGTCGTAACGTGACAGTGTCACTGCAATCGAGGACAGGCCACACGAACATGCTCGCAGTAGTTGGTGCATTAGTATTCACTCAGTATTGGTATTGGTTCCCATTGGCCCATTGCTTGGCATTAGCCTTCACCCCAACTTGCCTGATCGCTCTGAACGCTCAACTAAAAATGCCAAAGCTAGAATTCCGCTCAAACGCCAGACCAAGTGTCTATGCCTATCCTGCACCCCTGGAGGAGAAGAAACGCGAGGAAAGGGAGAAAATCACCACTGCGGTTCTCAGTATCGCCGCCAGGGCGCGCAGACGCGAATCTGAGAGGCGTGCACGTGATTCTCATGAGAAGATGGATGTGGTTCGTATCTCAATCGTTATTTTCAAATCTTTGGAAAAATTCTTTTATCATTTTTCTCTTAACTAATATATCATATTATATATTTTCACTAATTTATAATTTATAATAGATATCCTTATTTTTTATTTGAGTAGAAAAGAATTTCATTCTGTAAAAAAAAAAAAGAAAAGAATTAATATTTTGTTTTCATAAGAATTAATACTAAATTGACTATTGTTGAGTTTAAAAAATATCACGAATTTTATAATTTTATTGGTAATTTATATTTGGATACTTGGAATACTCTTGGAATTCTTTGGATACCATAGAATCCTCTCGATCTCATTTATATAATAAATTACATTTTGTATTACATATAATCGTTCTTATACGATCATAAATAATTTCTCAAGAATTTTTCGCATATTTTTCTTCTTCACATCTCAATTTTTCAATCTTCTTACGAGATAATCATCAACTGTTTATCTTTCAAGCTGTTATCATTCGTTCTCCCAACGCAAAGATCATTCCCTGTTACATTGATTGACGGCGAGGCTAAAGATAAACGATGCTTCCGTTCAGATTAGAGATTTTTCGTTTCCGTCATGTTTAATTTTTAATCGCAGGATCCGCCGGAAACGGTGAAGGAGCCGGTCGAGGCGGCGGCCAAGGAGAAAGAGGAGAAGAAGAAAGAGAAGGAAACTAAAGAAGTGAAAGAAACGAAAGAGAAGGTCGAGAAGAAGAGCAAGGAGGAAGGCGAGAAAACGACCGAGAAGGAGAAAAAGGAGGCTGAGCCCAATTTCGAGATCCTTCAGAATCCTGCTCGTGTGCTGAGACAGCAACTGAAGGTGATACAGTTGGTGGAAGGAAGCCATTATGTGCCCGTCAAGGATATTCAGATCGGGGGTATCGTGATGGTGAAACACATCCAATCGGATACTGAAGAGGAATTGGTGGAACCAGTGGCCGGTAAGTCGATATTATTTTTCTTTTATTTCTATGAAGAATTTCTATTTTATGATAGAATTTTTCTGATGCAATCTTGTGTAATAATAAGGATTTATTAATTTAATACATCTTCGATGCAAAGACAGTTATGCGTGTACTTATGCACATCAATGCAACTCAAAATGCCTTTTACAACGTTATTTTTGTAATAATAATATTTGCAATAATTTTTTAGAATTTTTGCAATAGTTTTAGAGAAAAGTAATTTTAAAATTGAATTAGTCAAGCTAGCAATTAAAATAATTATATCTTCGAATTAATCATCTTTTCCTTTTTAATTCAATGATTATACATATTATTCTTTATTAATTATTAATTATTAATTAATTCTTTAAATAAACCAAATTATCAAAAGATATAA